CTAACCCTAACATGGGCAAACTGTGAAGCGATATTTTTTTATGGTTGCTATTTAAGCAAACACTTCAGAATGTATCTTTAATGCGAAATATTATAAATAAATAGAATTAAAACTATTGTAGTAAGAAAGCGTATGGTGAAAAATATTTTACCTCGAATTATGCGAGTTCTGAATAGATATGCTGAGTGAGTGCATTTAACAATTGCATATTTAAGCAACACTAAATTATATTTTATTTATTAAAGAGTTCATTTAGCATACTTGCAAATATATATAAAAATCAATGGAATAACAGTTAGGAAAAAATGAAAAAACCTTGAATAATCGAGAATAACATTTTAGGTTTTTATAGATATTAAGGTATAAACTTTAAAAATTTAATTATTTGTCAGAAATATACTGCAGTGAAATATTCTGATAAACATCTCACCAAACTTCATTAAAAACACGAAGACCGTACTACAATCTCCGTTAAAATGCAATATAGGGAAAAAAATACTATCTTTATCGTAGATCCCGTAATTAGTTCGAAGGTGTAGAAAAAAAGAAGTTCGTTAATTTTATATCGTATATTAAAAGCCCTTAAGGGCATTTCTAAAGCAAATGTTTGAAAAAGAAAAAAAAACCCTAAGTGCATTAGGTTTAGAGAAAACTAGTAAAATTAAAAATTAAAATGTAAGGAATTATTTCGATTTCAATACTTTTGTTTTTATCTATCGAAAAAAAGTTTAAATATGCATCAGGAAAGAGCTTAGTTTCTCTTTTTTCCCTTTTTCTTTGTTAAATTAAGAATAAAAGCAATAATTAGCAGATTTTTTTCTTCCAATGGAATTTGCAAAGAACAGAAAGGTTTTTTTATTAAAAGATGTTTGAAAGATATTTGCGTTACATAAATGATTCATATCACAAAGTCCTAATAAAGCTGATGCGTTTTAATTATTTATCAAAATAGTTTTAGTTTTACTCTATTGGAGATTTGTAGAATTTGTGGAATTGTTTTAATTAAATAATTTAGTATTCATATTTCAGTATTTGGAAAACCAGGATTTAGGTTTTTATAAGCATATTCTTCTTTGATCATGAGACAGGAAAACAATATTATCCCTATTGTTGCTATTAAAACTTCGAACATTTGGTGAAAAGATTGATAAAGTTTCCAAATCTCACATGTATGTGATAATATCCGATAGCAGTCACATGTATGTTATAATAAATAATAAAAAATAAATAAAATCTGAAAGCTTTCAGATTTTATATTACGCGCAAATGACATTTTTTATATTTACAGACACATACACTTTTCTAGAGCATTTGGGCTAACACCACTTAAACCTAAAAATATTTAAAAACAGCACATCCTTAGAAATTCCGATAAATAGTCTCTCAAACTGGAGATTAAAATCATGGAGTTTAGAATAGATGGAGTAAGCATGACATCACAAAACTGAAGCCAATTGGCTGTGATGACAACGTGACGTCAATCTTATCATGGGCGCCACATGTACTTAAATAAAATTAAATTGAATATGAGAGCAAATATTAAAGTCCACATGCTCAAAAAAGTGTTTCAAGCATAATTTGCATAAATACCTTTGAAATCTCTAGTGATAGGTTTTACTATGTTTATATTTGTGTTATAATTACCATTTAAACATTTTCATGTAACAAGGTTTTTAATAAATCTGAAAAAGCTATTTGAAATCCTTGTGATTTTCTATATAATAAGTAGAAATTCTTTTATATTTAGTACTAAATTTAAAACGGGAGATTTATAAATAATAATAAGTTTATAATTGAATTATTAGTTTATAATTGAAGTACTATTGAATTCGACTATGAAGCATTTAAACACAATTTCAAGAAACACGATCATTCTCATTCAAACTCATTTCAAATTTTCTACAGATTTTTATATTTCTAAAAATACCATTCTTTAATCTCTATGAAAATTAGAACTGTAAAAAGATCTAGTTTTAATTTGTCATCGACTGCTTTGATCAATGAGGATTTTTACATAAAAACGCGTTTTTCTCCAAAGTTGATTTTTTTATACCCGATGCTCCTTTTCTCAGGAACTAATGCTCACAGGTATCTAAAATTTTTATGTCTTATTTATTAGGCTTCCTGATATTTACTGAAATGAGCTTTTTGCGATAACGTAGAAAAAAAATTAAACATTTCTTTTTGTGTGAGAAAAGTGCTAAATTTTACTATGCCTAACAAAATATTCTGTAAATTACTCAAAAATTCAAAATCTTTCAAAAGCTCATTAGAGTATAATTAGATAGGTATACTTTAATTACACAAAAAATTTGAAGCGTGTATTTACAGCAGATTGGGAGAAAAGGTACCTCGAAAATGGCCAATTTAACATTGTCGGTATAGGGGTTGGGGGCTGATACCCCTTAAAGCTATTCTTACAGTTATCTTCGTCTGTAATTAAGAAAACACACTTGGAAATTTCTCAGTTATTGGCAATTTCTCAATCTTACACCTTATAGCACCAAATTTCAAGTTAAGATCCTAATTTATAAACTTTCGGTAAAATTGCTAAAGAAGAACATTTTTCTTCTTTTAAAGAATACAACTGTTTTTTATTCTAATTATATGACAGGTGACAGGTGACGGAGGACGAGGGCGCCTGATGTTTAACATAGGTAAACAGGCATATGCCCCGCGTCCTCCACTATCTAGTGGCAACTTCCCTGGAGCCTCATCAGGCTGCCTCGGGAGTATATTTGAATCTTAATGAGAAAGTTACATGGCCATACAAGGGCGGTTGACATAGTCTACATTACAAGTGATGTGTATGACATTTGAAAGTTTTAGGATTACAGTGGTTACAGAAAATCTTAAAAAAAAAAAAAAAAAAAAAAAAAAAAAAAAAAAAAGGGGGGGGGGGTGAGGTGGCATAATAATGTAAGACATAATACACATAACAACACACTTAAAATACACAGAACATACTCACAGACTACTAAGTAGAGTACTAATAATGCATTCATGTGATGCTGTTAGAACATATAAATGCTGGGCAGATGTAATACTATGTGACATATAAAAACGTGTAATAAAACTGGTAAGATCACAGGATGCAGAGCAGAGATAAAGCTGCGATACTAGTGAAAACACATGGTGCATGCCAGATAAAAAGCACGCGTGTAACATTGCCAGATATAAAGCACGCGCGTATACTAATTAAAACACATGATGCAGGGCAGTTTTAAGACAGATAATAACATAAGTTGCAGATAATTATTAGCAATGAACTTTTGGTGTTACATATGAAACAGATGGTAGTATATGAGTAATAATACTTATGGGGAGACAACTCATAGTGCATGAACCTAGGCTAACACATGATAGGAGTACATGATGCAGAGCAAATATGTTAATAGTATATACACGTTATGACAGAGCAAATATAGAGCTAAATAAAAGACATGATTCAGGGCAACTATAATACTGATAAAAACACACATGACTTTGGGCAAGAGATGATGCTATTTAAAAGCACATGATGCAGGACAGAGATAATACTAATGAGAAACACATGATGCAAGCATGAAATATGATTGGCACACATGGTACAGGGCATATGTTATACTAATAGAAACTCATGATGCAAAGCAGATATAATACAAATAGGAGCATATGATACAAATAAATATTAGGGTACTTTATGCAGACCAGGTATGATGCTGGTATATACACATGATGCAGAGCAAATATAGAGCTAATTAAAAACGTGACGTAGGGCAGATATAATACTAATAGAAATACATGAAAAAACATTATGCAGTGCAGTTTAAGTTCTAATGAACACGTATGATGCAAATCAGATATGAGAAAAAAAAAAAAACAGCCACATGCCGCTGAGCAGGTATAGTACGATTAAAATCATTTGATGCAGGACAGATATGATACTAATGAATATACATGATAGAACAAATAGAGCTAATTAAATGACATGGTGCTGAGTAGATGCAGTACAGGTGAAGAACGAGTAAATACACTTGGTACAAAGTAAATATGATGCCAATAAATATACATGGTGCAGAGCTGATATGATACTAATAGCAAAGCAGATATAATACGAATAAAACACATTGTGCAAATAAATATTAAGGTAGACAAAGATACATATGATAGTATATGAGTAATAAGTGCTAATAGAAACATATGATACAGAGAGCTGATATGATGCTTATAGGAAGGCATGCTACAGAGTCGTTATAATACTGACAAAAGCACATAATACTGTGCTTGTATAGAACTAATAAGGACACATGACAGCGTTAAAGTTCATTAAATATTTGCTATTGTGCAAGAGTTCTCAAACCAGTTTAAGTTCTGTTTAGGTATAAGATATAAGGTATGCGTGTGTAAATTGTAGTTTCCTGGATAAATGCAGTGGAAAACCTTATGTTGATTAAATGGGCTGGCAGATATCCTGACCTAGTGCCGCGATAAATTTTATAATTTTACATATTGCATTAATGCTTCCCTTGTGCTTAATTATCAGTCGGTGGTAGGCAGTTATGTTGCTCGTGGGCATGAAAAGATGCATGGTATCTGTCAGAGGGCACCTGAATAGGTAGTGGTCTGGCGTTCCGTCTTCTCCACAGACACAGATGTCTGTATTTGATATCCCATGTCGATGAAAATAAGACGGGAACGGCCCGTGACCTGTTATGTAGTTTACCAAAGGAGCAATGGCGATAAGGCGGTCAGTTGATACCTTTGAAATACGCTCATAGGTGCGCCTCCCTGTTTCCGCATTAGTCCATTCTTCTTGCCATTGTCGTATTGCTTGTCCCTGCAAATGACGCTTTAGATAGGATGGTGGGGCAGGAATATTTATTTCTTGTGCTTCGAGATTGCTTGCAGCATCCTTAGCCAAACGGTCAGCTGCTTCATTTCCCTGGTTGCCATCGTGGGCTTTGACCCAGACCATGGTAATTTTAGTGTGACGATTATGCTGCAGGATGTCTTGCAAGTTAATGATGCTCGGCGATACATGGTGTTGATTTTCTATTGCATTTATTGCTGAAAGGCTGTCCGTGTATATGGTAGCTGCCTGTATATTGTTGTTGAGTATATGCTGTACCGCTGCTGTGAGAGCAGTAACTTCCTTCCGCCTGAAAGACGCTGTTTTCCGGTTTCAGATGTCCTTTCCATGTGTATTCGGTGTTGGAACCATCATAGTGTATAAAGGCACTACCTACTCCATGTTCATGCTTCGAGCCATCCGTGTATATCTTCGTGAGGGTGTCTCGATGAAGGCAGTTGGATTTAACTGTGCGTATGCCTGTCCCTTTTATTGAGGGATGTGTACGCAATACGTCGCCCCGATGCTCATATTGGACTGGGCTATAGGTAGTGTTTCCAAATGTCGCATCTCGGCGCAAGTGGATCAGTTGGGCATATGCAGATTCCATTAAGGCTTTGATATGCAGTGGTATGATACCAGCTAGTACCTGTGCTGCATTTGTGGCTGTAGTTCGATATGCTTTGCATAGGTTTATCGCAAAAGGTCTTTGCAAGGCTGATAGTTGACGGATTTTCCTGGCTCCCATTGGGTTTGCCCAGATTGGGGCTGCATATAATGCGATTTTCTCTGCAACTGTGAGATATAACAGTTTCTGAAAATGGGGGCTCTGACCCCAATTCTTGCCCTGAAATTGGCGCGCTGTTCTCGCTATTCGAGATGTTTTAACACACGAAGGTCTTGTATATGAGGAATAAAGGTTAGACCGGAGTCCCATGTTACTCCTAGATATTTAAGATTTTTAACGAACTTAATATTTCTCCCCCGTTTAATTTAATACAGGGCCGTCGTGTTGGATTTGTTCCTGGCCTTGGAATGATCAACGCTGTTGACTTTTCTGTTGATATTTGAAGCTTAAGTCGAGTGCAGTAGTCAGCAAAAAGTGTGCAGACTTCTGTGCCGTTTTTCTCCAGTTCGTTGCGTGTGCGTCCTCGCACCAGGAGTGCAGCATCATCTGCGTAGGCGACAACTCGCGTGTGTGCGGGCCAGTCTGCAGCGAGCACTTCGTTAAATGTGATGTTCCATAGGAGGGGCCCCCCGCGCAAGAGCCTTGCGGGCAACCTCTCACTTGGGCTTTGGATGAAACACCTGCATCGTGGGACATTATTAACATACGATCTTGTAAGTAGCTTGTGATTGTTAGATAAAGGTTGGTCGGGCATTTTTGCATTGCGTAAAGCTTGTTTGATTGCTGGCCACCACAGAGTATCAAATGCGCTGGCCAGGTCAATCGAAATGAAAGCCGTATGCATATTATCATTTCTATTCTTCTGGATGCAATCCTTGATTGTTGAAAGGGCTTGAACGGTGGAAGATCCTATGCGGAAACCGAATTGTCTGACACTTAGATATTTGGTCTTGTGCAGATGATGACGAAGTCGATTGACAATCAGCTTTTCATACACTTTGCCCAGTGCAGACAACAAGCAGATTGGCCTGTAAGACCGCGGTTCAGCTGGATTTTTGAATTTTTTCAAGAACAAGACTACCTGTCCCTTCTTAAATACGGTTGGGAAGAGCTTTGCCTGAAGTAATTTATTGAAGAATTTAGTGAAGAAATCTGGATTGGCTTTATATGCAACTTTAATTATTGAATAGTCCAGGCCATCCGGTCCTGGGGCTTTTTTCAGGGGTAGGTAGCGAAATACATGAGCGATTTCTTTTGCTGAGAAAGCATAATCATCTGGCGTATCTGGGATAGTTGTATTGTTTCGCACTGCACGTTGTTCCAGTGTATCTTCATGCGGATTGTCCTTTGCAAAAATTTCGTCAAGAAGGGTGGCAGCTGTAAACCCCGCTGGGTTTGTTGAAAGACTAGCTGTTGGAACCTGTGCATGAATTTGTGCTGGTTTGAATACCTTCTGTGTTGCAATCTTATGTAAGATCCCGTAGGGATTCGTATTGTTGTTACAGAAGGTGCGCCAGCTTGTCACTTTTGCAGCGAGAATATTCTTCTTATATTTAGCCCGCTCTTGCCGGTATGTAGTCAGAATCTGTGCTTTGGTCTCTCCGTCCACGTTGCCTCTTAGTCTGCGGCGCAAAGCTCTGCATTTTTGTCTTTGTTGCCTTAGTTCGCCGGTCCACCAAGAGATTCCTTGTAATTTCTTGGTTGTACGGAGGGGTAAAATTTGTTGACATATTTCATTAAGTTCCTCTAGAAGTCCTTGTGCAAGGGAATCAAGGTGTTCTGAGTTGTTGCAAGATTCTAGCTGCAATTCTTTTGCTTGCAGGAGACGAGTAAAGGCCTGGGTCAATTGTCTAACCTTTGTTACCTGGCAGCCTATAGCGTTTAATTATAGAAATGGTGGTATCTGTTTGTATAGTAAATTCTACGTATTTATGATCTGAACAACTTTCAGAGTCTGAGACATGCCATGAATGTATGTTGTTAGCAATATCATAAGTTGAGATCGTTAAGTCTGGCCATCCTTGATTGTACGAATTATCGAATGTAGGTGGTGCATTCGTTGTATTGTGCAATTGTAAATTGTTTGCCGCAATATAATCTTCAAGCTCCTGCCCTTTTGGATTTGTGGTACTATACCCCCATATAATATGATGGGCATTAAAGTCGCCTCCTATGACTTGAGCTGTGTTTGGAAATTTTCTACTTGTTTCGCTTATGTGGGCGACAGTGCTGCCAATTGCATCTGTTGGTGGTGAATACACCGAAGTAAGGATAAATTGCATATTTTCAAAAATGATTAGAATGGCGACATAATCCCTATGCAGCTTGATGACTTGTGGTGTCCATGCGGGGTTGCAGCAGGCAATTGCTACTCTAGGAGCAAGATCTGCCGTCGGGGACTCCTTTTGGTATATTTTCCATGCAATAGGTAAGCTAGCGACGTGACCTTCTCTACAGTATGGTTCCTGCATGATTACAAAGTCTATGTCGTTGGAAACAACTTGCGTGAGGACATGAGATGTTGCTGCCTCAGCCCTTTGAAGATTGATTTGCAGGCATTTGATGATACTTGTGCTTAGTGTACCTATGTTCCTGCTTGATGGAGGTATAGTATGTGGAGAGAGAATCTGCATATGATTATTGCTATTATTAGATTGGATTACAGGCGTGTTGTTGTTAGCATTAGTAGCAGATAGACTATTCATAGATAGTGCTGCGTTTGATCCGTTCGACGTATCTCGTGTATGTTGGACAGGCAACATCATATGCTGGATGGTCGCAAGCTTTATTGTCTCGGTTGCGGTAGTTACTGTCTGCACAGTTGATGCATGTGGCTCGTCTGGCTTGACAGTCTTTGATTGCATGATTCCCCGAGCAGTATGCACAATAGATTTTATTTTGGCATCCCTGCTGGGTATGGCCAAATGCTTGACAGCGGTAGCACCTCTTAGTGTTGAAGTACTCTGAGATTCGATGTGCCCCGCAGCCGATGAGTAGTTTTCTGGAGCGCATGAGTTGTTGGAAGGCATCGGGATTACATTCGACAATCCACTTGACTGTGTTTACTCCTTTCTTTGAGCCTGTACAGGATTTTGGCATTATTCTTGTTAATATGGAGTTCTAAACTGATGACTCGTCCAAGTTCCTCCTGTGTAACGCTTAATGGGATATTGTGTATAGCAACCCTGGGAAGCCTTGTGCTTGGGATCTTGGTTTGCAAGAATTCTTTAGCCTTTTCAGTCTGCAGTTTTTCCGAGAGTGCGTGAATGTCCTCCTTTGTGTGGCAATCCACTGCAAGTCCTTCCTGCGGGATGTATCTTAATGCTGCTACTTGAACTCCCAATGTTGGTAACGGAAATTCAGCAGTCAATTTTTCTTTTAACACTTTCCTGGATGTTGTGGACGGGTCTTTAGGGTAGATCAGCAAGGTGTGTTTAGGCTTTTGCGCCGTTACACTTGCGTAGGACTTTCGATTGTCTGTTGCCTTTTGCGCTAGATTAGGTGCAGCTGTGATGTGTTGCTGTTGACTTGCTAGTTCACACGCGAAAATACTGGATGTGTTGACTGCTTTATCGACGGTATCCGGAGGTGGGATATACTCAGATACTCCCAAAGCCAGAATTCGGAAGGCTTCAAACCGTGTCTATCAGTTGCTTTCGCAAGCCTAGGGGTAGAATATTTTTGCCACCTCGAAAGGAAGTTGCGATCTTTTTAATTTCGTCAGTGAGTTTATCAATCTTCTCAGTATAGCTTATGTCCGAGGTAATGAATGTTTGCAAAGCAAATTCTCTCGAGTAAGTGGAGGAATCTGTGTCACTCATCGTATGGGAAAGGATCTAAGTTTTCTGTACAGTACTGCGTTTGGTGCTGAATTTTTAGATTTCTATCTGGAATACAGGAAAAAGTCAAATTTTCTTACCTTGGCAGCAGTATTTCATCTGTCCTTCATCTGTATAAAGGTATTCCATAGTAATCCAAAGGCACATAGACACTGAAACACAACACTGCACTGTAATAGGAAGTCAAACTACGCAATTTTGCAGCTTGAAAATTCTAAGTTAATAAATGTCGAAAAAATTATATCTTTGGAACCAGTGGGCCGATCACGACCAAAATTTGAAACTGCTGCTTCTGAAGATAGATGATGAAGATTGCCGTTTATTCCAGCATGATACAGCAATTAGGAAATTAATTAGCAGGCAGCTAATAAAGTGTCCACTTCATAAAAGGAAAGCCGTTGCGAATGTCCTTGACGAAAACGCGCTACCCCGAGGGGGGGGACTAATTATATGACAGCTGTATAACTTTAAATTTTTTCCAGATAATAATCTTTTTAGATTATTAAACTACTAATTTGCAACTTTGTAGGAATTCCTTTAAGCAGGGGTATTTTTCGATAGATTAAATTATTTTGAAGTTATATACTTCGGATCTTTCAAAATTTGATATAGTAAGCTATTTTCCAAGCATGCTGTTCAGCTAAATATATCGTTCCAGTTTCCTTAAAGCTAGTATGAGGTTTGGGTATATTTCGTATACATGGAAAGCATTTTAAATGAAAAGCATTCTAAATTTCAAAATATGCATAATCACTTAAATAATACTGAAAGCGGACAGAAATCCTAGAAAGACTAAATTCAGTGCTGGCTGCAAAAGCTGAAATTCTCAACTAACTTCCTAAAGTTATACTATAAACAAACTTAGCCGTCGCCCAGATAGTACAGTTGTTAGGGGAGCCCACTACGGCAGTGAAGGGCCAGGGTTCGAATCCCGGAGAAGACATAGATGTTTGTAAATGTATAGCGTCGGTGCGGCATGGTGGCGCTCTAAATTTGCGGCGAACCGAAAATCTTCTCTGGTGGATTGGTGAAAGGGAAAAGAGTCGGACAACCGAATAGCCCCCCAAGGGTGCTCTTTCTCAACATTGGGGTGGAAAATAGAAGTCCACCCCTCATGTGAAGTAGGCTTTAGCAATCATTGTTCCATGTAATATGGACAAAACAATAACAGATTTACCCCAGGAAACCAATATGGCTTTGTACCACTTTACCTTCTTGGATAATGCTGATTTCTTTGGGCAGAGAAATTTCAAGTTAAAGTCTGAGCGTCGAGGGCTGAACGCCCGACAACAAATTCACAGTTTCATACAAGCTTATGGCCCACCTCTACAATGTGGCATTGGTAAATAATGTACAAATATGAAAGATAAAAACAGAATTTCTCTTTAAAAAGAAAGGAATTTTCGCGAACAACGATTAATGATTTTTTTTTAAATTCATTTTTGAACTAAGTCTCTAATTTGATTTAGA